TTAAACTTATAAATGTTATCAATGCAAACTCAAATAGATCTAGAAGTGAAACAATTTGAAATCAAAATTAATGAAATAAGGTTCATTTTGAGTGCTGCTCTCGTTGAAGATAAATCGCGGTTCCTAAATAGTATAAGATTTTTCGCAACAGATAAAGAGAGACCAATTAGGGATAAAGAGAGACCAATTAGGGGTAAATTATTCTATACTAATATTATTTTGCACAAATTATACATTACACAATAACCTTAAATTTTCCCTTATTATTATTCTTATATGTTTCATAGATTTATTGAAATATAAAGGACACATTGTTGAAACTTTTTCTGATTCCGAAGGTGAAAGTGTAGATAGTGAAGACGATGATGATCTGAGGTGAGACAAATTCTAGATAAATATTGTGCCGTGTGTTGTTCTTCATACTCATAATTAACACGAAATACAGCGATATTACTGAACTCATCGAAGAGCTATCTAATAGGTGCTCTCAGCATGAAAAAGATTTTTTTTCTTTGCACGTAAGCTGAAAACTATTGAACGCTCAAAATGTTGTAATCGTGATTCCTTGTTACACTTTCATATGTCTAATATTCGTTACTTATAATAGAATGTAATTAACAAAAAGGCAGCGCTTCTTGATTTGAATATACGTAAGTTCCGCGATTTAGATGAGATTGCTAAGGTTTGAAAAATTGGTTATGCGAAAATTTGATCCATAATTATGGGTATATCGGTATTTTATGTCATCATAGCAATCAAATTCCGGCATTCAACTAATCAAATTCAGACATCCGCCAATCAAATTCGAATATTCAACCGATCTACTAATTTGAACATAATAACAATAGGACTGGGAGAAACCCGCGTTGTAAATTAGTAAAATCCGCTACGTAGATCGCGTTAAGGTGAAATTCGCGTTTAGCTATGTTTTTTGTCATGCAAAACCGAATTTCATCCTCATGTGATCTACGTAGCGGATTTTACTAATTCGCAGCGCGGGTTTCATCCTGTCGTATAACAATTGACTTTGGACATGATTAAATCATGATATCTTATGGTCCAGTAATCTAAATCACATTGTTTTGGCATCATTTAATTCGCCTTGACAAGACGAATCGACTGGTACAAAAATCATGTGATTTAAATTACTTGTTCATAAGATATCATGATTTAAATTTGATTGTTAATCGGTTGAATATCCGAATTTAATTAGCTAAAGATCCGAGTTTGATTGCTATAATGTTGAAATTTGGTTGGTTGAATGTTTGAAATTGGTATAAAAAACCGATATTTTTCTTTAAATTACAATTAATTCAATTACTTTAATTACTTTTCATAAAGGACCTTAACGAAAAAATTTCAGTGACCGATTCCAGGTCAACGAAAGAGATGGAAGAAACTATTGATATAGCAAGCAGAACTACTGAAACGATTGCTGAAAGACTAAAATCAATTAGTACGCGGATTCGTGATAAGAATGAGGTTTTGAAACAATACCAACAAGCGGTAAGAAAAGGTTCTTAATCAGTGAAAGTGAATATATACTCTGTTTGAGGCATGAGTCAATTAAATCCCAAGTTATATTAACCCGTTTGGTTGCGTTTGGGTAAATGTTAATAACCTTTAAAAAAACCGGTACGATTCATGGGTTCATTATTCAAAAACTGAAAAAGATCTGGTATTATTGTGGTGAAATATATACATGTTATATTCAAAATCCTTATTAACCCAATAGTATCTTCACTTCTATTCATGAATTTGATGGTTTCCTGTATCAGTTTCCAGCTACTATAGTCAATGGTATACAGTAATGATTTTACTGTCGTGCTTGATCCTGCGATTGGTTTGTTAGCGTATCTATTCATGCTTCGAACAGAATTCACATTACGCCTCGGTTTAAAAAGTTTCCCTTTTTTGAATATATGGTCTTTCGGTTAATTGCATTTTTCGTTTTATGCAGCTTAGGGCGTTGCAAAATCGGGTTGAATTGGAAAAGAAAACTGAGAAGGTACTTGCCAAATATCGAAAAGTACTAGGTAAATAACATATTACCATGCTATTAAATTATCTCGAATTAAGACTATATTTGAGCTAATAATTCGTCCTTTATCTTTTTAATATAGTCGTCATACTGGGCATTATTATTATAATTGTTTACTTGTTGTTGCGTGTCAGATTTAATAACCGTGAAAAGATTTTAGCTTATTTTGACGATGCGTAATGCATCCAATAAGATTAGGTATAATGTGAAATCCAATCCCACCAAGGGTTAGTGTTAGGTTAGGGTAGAGGGTTAGTAGAAAAACATTTTTATTTCAAAATTTTACAGAGAATTGTTTTTATTAAAATGTGGAAGGCCGTTTTATAAGCAAGTCGTGTTGCAAATGATTTAAATGATTTTTTAGAAATATTATTTTTTTAATTTATATATTGTATTTAATTTTGTAACCTGATTGGTTGATTAGGTAGGTGTTATAATGCATATACAGTACCGGACAGCTAAAGATATCTACTTTTTACATATAAAAATATAAAAAGGCTTATAACTCAACAACAAA